GGTGGGCGGTCTGGTGGCCCCGAGGCCCCGGCCCGGCCGGCGGAAGTACCCCTCACTTCCTCCGCAGGTCTCGTCCCCCAGGTGTCCTTTGTGTTTGCGACCCCGGAACGTGCGCCAAGTGCCACAGACAGCCCCCGTGCATCGCTAGCAGGCTTTCAGTCACAAGCGCCCACGCCTAACTGCTCCTCCGCCGACGTCGCCGGGCTCCTGTCTTGGTGTATGTTTTTCAGAAAGCGTCGCCCCGCCCGCCTAAAGGTGACTGGGGACAAAATGGAGGGAGCCGCTCCCTAACGAACACGCGTCAGGACCCGAGTCCATTGTGTAGAGCCGGATAGGGAAGTGAGGGGGGAGACGTGGGCGGAGCAAGAGAGAAGCCGCATGTTTTTAACGTAGCACATGTGGTACACCCCTAAAAGGGGAGCGTGTATTGCCCAGAGCCCCTGCTTCGGTGCTCCGTTTTGCACCAGTGCTGGAAGCTGGCCAAGTCCGCGAGCTTGCGCGCAGAGGGGGTCGGGTGCCACGTAGGGCGGAGTCGGTTTGCCATGCGCCAAACTGGAGAGCAACAGCTCTTTTGTCAGGATTAAAATCGGACGTGGTAGCCCGCCGAAGGTAGACGTCCCGGTCGTTACTTCACACCCGCTCTCGAGGTCCGTCTGTCGTCGGCGTGCGACGGCGTGCACTGGAAGTGAGCTCCCGCAGACGCTCTGGGCGCCATCGTGCTGAGTCACGCCGCGGCCGCCGGCCGGGAGGTCACAGCCGCCCCTGAACACGTGCCCTTTCTACAGCCCGTGCGACCGTCCGCAATTTTAGACCCATTTCTGTGGGAGGTTTTGCCCAGAGAGTATTTAGGGGGAATACAAACGATATATTGCTCTAATATTTTCTAGGGAAAAACCCCAAACAGTGCTATTGTGTCAGTTTGGGGTTTTCAGGTGAAATGCTTCCGTGTTTTGAACCCTTCACCAGGTAATAATGGTGGTTCTAGTGAGGAATTCTTTTGAAGTAATTCCTAACTATTTTAAAGGTGGGAAAGTGCCAGGTAGACCATCTTGAAGGCATTTTTTTTTCTTTTTATAAGACCTTGAAAATTTGTTACAGTAGGCTGCTCGAGATCCATTTCTATTGTCTCTATTTTCTTTTTTTTTTTAAACATTAAAATATTTCCCCCAAAACTGCATAATGGTCATATGTTCGATTTTTTTGTTGTTGCCTTTTGTGTAACAGTCTGTAGAGTTAAAAAGTAAAAATCTCTCACTTTTTTTCTCCTCTGAAGGTCCCTGTGTCATAGTGGCAAATGTACAAATACGTACTCATGTAATAATTTTAAATTAATTTTAAAAAGAGGTAAGAGACAATGAAACAATTGTGTTTGCACTATTAACTACAAAGTTGGTGAATCAAATACACCAGCCTCATCACCTGAGAAAAATGAGGCTGTAATGATTTAGCCTCAGACCTGTAATGTAGGAATGAGTTGAGATTAACTAAGGTAGACACAATTAACTTTCATATAGCTTACCTCTTAAAAATTAACAAAAGTATTAAATGAATATATACTTGTCATAATCATTAAAACAGCACTGGCGTATATAGAGTAAAAAGTAAAAGCCTCTCTAGTCCATGTTGGCCTTCACCATGGACATTGCTATACATGCTACCTGTGACACACATATATCCAAATGATATTGCATTATCTAATTTGTATTGAGTCATTTTTTCCATTTAACAAACTGCATATTAGACTTTTTTCATGTAAGCACCTATAGACTTAGTCTTTTAATCATTTTGATTGGCATACAGAAATTTTTTGTTTTTCACTATTCTAAGAAAATACTTGAATGAGCATTTTTAGGCATGTATCAGGGTAAGTGAAAAAGTATTATTATGAAATCAGAAAGTCTTATTAAAAACAAAATGTGTTAAAGAGACCTTCATCTCAAATACAGTTTCCGGAGAATGTTGTCTTAAATGGAACAAAGGCATATCATCCGGATGAGGGAGACCATTAGCACAAGGCCACAATGGCATCCAAGAATTTGTCAGGAAACTAGTTACGTAAGATATGGAACAAAGGGGGGGGGGGCACCAATTACAAGTATAGCCTCCTCCCTGGGGGATGGACAGCAGAGAAGAGGGCGGAGGGAGACGTCAGACAGTGTAACTTATGACAAAACTATAATAATTTACGAATTATGAAGGGTTCAGGAGGGAGGGGGGAAAATGAGCAAATGATATTGAGGGCTAAAGTAGAGGGCAAAGTTTTGAGATTGATGAGGGCAACTGCTTGACTCAATGTATGTATGTATGGACTGTGATAAGAATTGTACGAGCCCTCAATAAAATAATTAAAAAAAAAAGATGGAACAAAGGAAACAATTTTATGATTGGTGGCAGATCAGTACATCACTGTATCTATCACAGTTGCAGAAGGGACAACCGAATGGGGAGCAGACCATCATTTGGACTCTTACATTATGTTAGATAGAAGAGCTTATAATATTATCGGTCCAGGGCCTTCCAATTAAGGCAGGTAGGGCACAACTGATAAGCCATGACTCCTGACTGTGACTCCAAGTATCCTTCCCAGTACAGAGATCTCCATCAAGAACACATTCAGGTAAGCCTCTAGGACTGCCTCTCTTTGGGCTGGCCTGAGAGGGAGTGAAGGAAATCCACTTTCTAGTGCACTCTGAGGGCAAGACTACATCTTAGTGTCGATAAGCCATCATCAGAAGGAATTTCAGTGAAGGCCTAGTCTACATGGGGACTCTGCAAATGTCATCCATTGCTTTCTGCAAACCAGGGTACTTGGAATTCAACCTCTAATACAAGACCAAAGATGGTATTTTAAATCGTAAGGTGAATCAGACCCAAGTGAGGGTCTTTTTTTTTTGGTGAGGGACTTTTCAGATGCCTCCTATATGCATGTGAAAGGTGGACAATGGAAAGGAAGACTGAAGAATTGATGCATTTGAATTGTGGTGTTGGCAAAGAATATTGACTATACCGTGGACTGCATGAAGAACATACACAAATCTGTGTTGGAAGAAATGCAATCAAAATGCTCCTTAGAAGGGAGGATGGTGAGATGTCGTCTCACACACTGAGCATGTAAGCAGGAGGAACCAGTCCTGGAGAAGGGCATCATGTTTGGTAAAGTCATAGGGGAAAAAGATCCTCCACTAGATGGATTGATACAATGGTGGCGATGATTGTGAGGAGGGTGCAGGGCTGGGTGGTGTTTTGTTCTGTTGTAACATAGGATTACTATGAGTCAGAAGCAACTAGTGGCACCCAACATCATTTCTTGACATATTCTCCATCTAAGTTTATGTACTTCTGAAGATGGTGTTTCCATCTCTCAAAACTCTTCCCTGAGAGGACCCCTGGTGGCATACTGGTTCCGCCATTGGCTGCTAACCTAAAGGTCAGCAGTTCAAAACCACCAGTTGCTCTTCTGTAAAAATAGACTTTCTAATCCCATAAAGAGTTACAGTCTAGGAAACCCACAGAGGCAGTTTTACTCTTGTCAGACAGGATTACTAGGAGTCAGTATTGACCCAGTGGCAGTGAGTAACTCTTCCCTGAATTCTTTGGGGGAACAAAATGAAGTATGAAAGAAAACCAAGGCTTTCCATCTCTTTAATTTTTAATGACAGGCGCTTTGTCTCATGGTTTGGGTTGTCTCCGCGTCATTTAACTGGTATTATCTATCCCTTTTATTGCCTATGAGCTGGAAGTTTGGTTAGGGTTCCTAACTTTTGAAGGACTACATTCAAAATTCAGATGTTCTTTTTAAAATAAACTTTTAAAAAGTTGTTTTAGGGCAATAAATGTATCAATGCGCTTTACACAATTGAAGTATGTATGGATTGTGATAAGAGTTGTATGAGCCCCTAATAAAATGATTTTTTTAAAAAGTTATTTTAAAAACTGGAAATATAACATTAAAACTTGCCATTTTAACTCTTGTTCAGTATCAGTGATATTAACTATATTCATAATATTGGGCAACCATTACTGATATCTATTTCTAAAGGGATTTCATGGCTCCAACAGAAACTCTACGCTCATGTAAAAGTGAGTCCCTTAGAAAGGTTAATATCTCTTAGAAAGGTTAATACAATACTAGTATCAGTGATTATCACAATATAATTTTTTAAATTACAAAAATAAATATTAGTACCCATGAGGTGGAGATTAAAGATGTCCCAAATGTTCAACATTTTCAAAATGCTATGCCATTCCTTTATTCCTGATAGCAACCACAAGTCCTCCCTTTGGTATATTTCCTCCCATCCTAGGATTCTGAATTTCACTGCAACATCTCACAGAATTCGTGAGCCATTAGAAAATAACTCATGTGATTGTGGAAGGTGGCAAGTCCAAATCCAAAGCTGTTTGAGGATCCACCTGATTCACAAAGCTGCTGTAACCAGTCAGGTGATAGGTAAGGTGACCAGATTTTAACATTGGTAAAGCGGGACACCATTGACCGGCT